GTCAGAGCCAGAAGGTCTCCCCTGAGCCTCCTTTGCTCCAGGCTCAGCACCCCCAGCTCCCTCAGCTGCTCCTCCCCACACTTGGGCTCTAGACCCTTCCCCAGCTTCATTGCCCTTCTCTGGCCACGCTCCAGCTCCTCAAGGGGCAAGTGTTGATGCTCAGCTTCCAAACCTGGGGGGGGCTTATCTTGATCACCCGAACCTGCAGCTCCCTACATCCTGCTGCTGGTCACTGCTCTGGACATCCCTTGGGTCAGCAGAGCCTGTGGCCAAGCCCCAGCTGGCTCCAGTTTCAGGCAGTGACTGGCAGAGATGGCAGATGCCACAAGGGCACTATTCTTATCCCTGCCAAGAGCTGCTCATTGTCAGGAGCACCATCCTCCCCGTGTCCAGACCCTGTTTGTCTGCCACTCTCTGAGCTGTCTTCATTTTTCCAGAGCCAGGGAGCTGTGCAGCCATCAGTGGAGGGTGAGGAGGAGGTGGAGGGACTTGGAACACGCTGGCAAGCATCAGTGGCTGAGTTGTGCCACTGAGTTGACTCGTGGCTGGAAGGTTGGTGCCATAGGCTGGCTCCTTCCACTCTCCTGAAGGTGGGGAGAGGTTTAGCTGGAGCAGCTGCCCTTGGGGCTCGGTTGTGTCAGGAAGCTCAGAGGAGACCACAGGAGTGATCCAAAGGCTGAACCCCTCTGCTGGGAGGGCAGGCTGAGAGGGCTGGGCTTGGTCAGCCTGGAGAAGAGAAGGCTCTTCCTTGTGTCCTTTCAGTACTTAGGGGAAAGCTGAGGATGGACTTTGAGCAGGGCCTGTTGCACCAGGATATAGGGAGATGGTTTTAAACTAAAAGAGGGAGATTTAAACTAGAGAGAAGGCAGAAATTTTAGAGGCTGAGGGTGGCAAGAGCCTGGCCCAGGCTACCCCAAGAGGTGGTCACTGCCCCATCCCTGGCACCATCCCAGGGGAGGCTGAGGGCTCTGAGCACCCTGCTCTAGCTGGGGCTGTCCCTGCTCCCTGCAGGGGGGTTGGATGAGAGGAGCTTGGAAGGTCCCTTCCAACAGAAAGCATTCCCTGAAGGGGACAGTCTGGATCTGTGTGGATCCACAGCTTCACAGGCAGCTTTCCCTGCACCCTGCTTTCCCAGCCCTGGCAGGATGCTGTTGGGCAAGGTGTGTCTGTGGGGCAGGATAAAAGGGTCCGGGAACCCAGGGGTCCTTACAGGAGCTCAGTGCATGGGGGGTCAAAAGCAGCCTCTTCTCTAGACTGACAGCTGCTCCCCCAACCTGTCACCTTCTCTCAAGGTGACACCAGAAGAGTTAAATGTGTCCTTCTTAAGGAGAGAGCCGTGGGTTTCTTGGAGCATTTTCCCCTTGTGGATGTTGTCAGGCAGGGATCTGGAGGGTGAGTGGGCTGGGAGGGCTCCCAGACTTTGTCTGGGAGGAAGCTGATGATTTGAGTGTCCAAATGCTGCTGAAGCCACTCTGGGTGCATCCCCATCAGGTTGCCCCAGGGGAGGTTTCAGTTGTCCCTGAGGAACAATTTCCTGCCCTGGAGGGTTGCCCAGGGCTGTGCCAGGCTGCCCAGGGCAGTGGTGGAGTCCCCACCCCTGGAGGGGTTCCCAAGCCGTGGAGATGTGGGGTGAGGGACACGGGGCAGTGGGGACCTGGCCGTGCTGGGGGCAGGGGTGGGCTCCAGGAGCTGGAAGGTCTCTGCCAACCCAAACAATTCCATGACTCCTGCATTAGGATCTTCCAGAATTAAGAGCTTGACCTTCAGCATAATGCTGGTCTGGAAGCTGGTGAGGGTTTTGTTGGAAAAACCAGCAGATGTGGTCACAGAGTGTTGCTGTGGCATCTGTCTGGTGGTGGCTTGGTGCATCCTGGGGGCTGCAGGATCCAGGTGGCTGCTGTGAGGGCTGCACTGGGGCCTTTGGTGGGGGGTCTGGGTGGTTTCTGTCCTTTTGGAGGAGAGAGGTGCCTTGAACTCAGCTGCTCCTGCTGCTGTTGGAGGGAGGTGGTTGGTGCTTTTCATAGAATCATGGAATGCTTTTGATTGAAAGGGACCTTTTAAGCTCTTTCTGTCCAACCCCCCTGCAGGGAGCAGGGTCATCTGCAACTAGAGCAGGGTGCTCAGAGCCTGTAAGGGTCAACCAACCTCACCTGGGATGGTTCCAGGGATGGGGCAGTGACCACCTCTCTGGGCAGCCTGGGCCAGGCTCTTGCCACCCTCATCCTCTAAAATTTCTGCCTTCTGTCTAGTCTAAATCTCCCTCTTTTAGTTTAAAACCATCCCCCCCTTGTCCTTTCCTAACAGGCCCTGCTCAGAACTCTGTCCCCATCTTTCTTCTAAGCCTGGAATGCCATCAGAAGGTCTCCCTGGAGCCTTCTCCTCTCAGGCTGAACGCCCCCAAAGTTGGGCCGTGCCCCAGCTCCAGGCGTGTTTAACTGCACCCATCTCTCCTCCCAGCTTCACCCCCGTGCTGCCGGGGTGGCAGAGCTGTGCCAGCCTGGGCTGGGGAGACCTCCCCCCCTCCCAGCCAGCCTCCTCTCCTCCCTGGCAGGTGTACAACGTGTACATGGCGGGTCGCCAGCTCTGCTCCAAGCGCTACCGCGAGTTCTCCATCCTGCACCAGAACCTGAAGCGGGAGTTCGCCAGCTTCCCCTTCCCCCGCCTGCCTGGCAAGTGGCCCTTCTCCCTCTCCGAGCAGCAGCTGGACGCCCGGCGCCGTGGCCTGGAGGAGTACCTGGAGAAAGGTTTGGAGAGGGGGCTGGGAGCAAACCTCGGGGTCCCTCCTTCCCTGGGTGGGCCCGCGAGTTCTCCATCCTGCACCAGAACCTGAAGCGGGAGTTCGCCAGCTTCCCCTTCCCCCGCCTGCCTGGCAAGTGGCCCTTCTCCCTCTCCGAGCAGCAGCTGGACGCCCGGCGCCGTGGCCTGGAGGAGTACCTGGAGAAAGGTTTGGAGAGGGGGCTGGGAGCAAACCTCGGGGTCCCTCCTTCCCTGGGTGGGCCCAGAACCTGGTGCTGTGAGGGAGAGGAGCCGCTGTGTGGCTGGGTTGGGTTGTGCAGCTGAGGTGGTGACAGTGAGCAGGTTGGCACAGGTTGGTGGCCCCTGTGTTGCTGGCTTCCAAGTACAAAAGGTGCACAACAAGAGTTTGTTTAGTGTCCCCTTGGTCTTGGAGATGGGGCATCACGGGGAGGAGGAGGAGGAGGAGGAGGGGAGCTCTGGAGCAGGGGGAGCATCACGTTCGAGTCGAGTCCCCTCAGGGGAGCTGAGCCCAGCCCCAGCCTGCTCACAGCTCAGCTGTTTGGTGCTTCCCATCAGATCTGCAGCACCTGGAGCAGCAGTTCCCTGTCAGCCGAGTTCAGGTGGTGGGAGAGCGGGTGCAGAACCCTGTCCCTTGTCAGGGAGCCTGGCTGAAGGACCTGACCCCACGTCTGGCAGTGCAGAGGCTGTGGGTGGGATCCGGGGAGCAGTGACCCCTCATCCTGTGGTGCTGGGCTTTTCTCTAAGTTGCCTGGAAGCAGCTCAGTTGGTTTAACAGCCCCTTTCCTGATGCAGCATCCAGGATTGAATCCCCCCCTTCCCACAGGATGGCCACGAGTTGGGTTTTCCCTGCCCCACTGGGATCTTGGCCCTTGCCACACGAGTTCATCTCCATCCTCTGTCACCAGCTGGCTGAGGATGGACAGACTGGTGCATCCTGCAGGCAACAGGAGACAGTTCAGATTATTTGCTGGACTTGGCCTCAATTCCTAAATAATTCCAGTCCCTGTGGAATGATTTTTTGTTTAGAGGCAAAAGTGCTATTTATTCTTGCCCACTTTTAAGCATAGCCCAGCCCTCCTGTCAGCCTTGTGCCTGGACCTCACTCCCGAGGAGCATCTCAGTGATTACTCCGTGGTTATTGTGGAGGGTTTGGGTTGGATCAATCCTCATGCTGGCACAGCCCGGGCAGCACTTCCCTGGAGAAGGTTTCTCCAGGCTGGAGATCCCACCCTTGTCTCAGGGCAGGGTTGTTTGCCTGGTGCCTTCCCTGGCAGCCGCTGAGCTGTGCTCTCTGTCCGCAGTGTGCTCCATCCGCGTCATCGGGGAGAGCGACATCATGCAGGAGTTCCTGTCGGAGTCAGACGAGGTAGGCGAGGGCCCCACGGGCTGGGGGCACCCCCTGCCCCCACACCCTGCTGAGGCTGGGGCAGAGCAGAGCTGGTCCCTCCCAGAGCCTCGCCTGCTGCAATGGGAAACCGCGGCGAGAAGCAGAGGCTGCGTTGTGCTGCCCGAGGAAACCTCTCCTGGGTGGCAGCAGCTGAAGCAGCTTCTGCTGCTCCTGGGGGGGTGGGCAGAGCAGAACAGGCTGCGAGGCCTCAGCCCAGACTCCCAGCGTAGGGGGGTTGGGAGGGACCTCTGGGGAGCATCTCATCCCTGCTCCAGCAGCTCACCCCCAGCAGGGTGCCCAGAGTGGTGCCCAGCCCAGTTTGGGATCTTTCCAGTTTGGAGACTCCACAGCCTCTCTGGGCAGCTGCTCCAGGCTCAGCCACCCTCACCCCAAAGAAGTTTCTCCTCCTGCTCAGGTGGCACCTCCTGGGTTCCAGTTGGTGCCCGTTGCCCCTTGGCCTGTCCCTGGGCACCACTGAGCAGAGTCTGGCCCCAGCCTCTTGCCCCCCGGGGCCCTTGAGCTCTTGCTCAGCACTGCTCAGATCCCCTCTGAGGCTTCTCCAGCTCAGCAGCCCCCGGGCTCTCAGCCTGTCCTGGCACAGAGATGCTCCAGCCCCTCAGCATCTCCAGAGCCTCTGCTGGGCTCTCTCCAGTAGCTCCTTGTCTCTCTTGACCTGGGGAGCCCAGCGCTGGCCCCAGCACTCCAGATGTGACACTCTTGGTGTACCCTGTCTCTTTGCAGTGGGAGACCAGCCAAGCCCCAGCACCCACTGCCTCTCCTGCTGCTTCCCATGCCAGGGGCAGCACAGGGCACTCGGCGTTTGGAGCTGTGTTTATTCACCAGCCTCTGCCCAGAAAGGCAGCAGCAGAGACTCAACCCCCATGTATCTGACCTGCTCCTCCTGAGCTGTGCGTCGTGGGCAGCAGCAGTGAGCTGCTCTCTGCCCTCCAGCGTGCTCTTTTTCCAGTCTTTCCATGGTGTCTGAGTTGCCATGTCCTGGAGCTCCCTCTTGCTCTTCACCAGCAAACTGGTGAATGGAAAATCCCTCCTGCCCTCGGGCCTGAGGCAGTTTGCAGCACCCTGTCCTGGAGCAGAGCTCACAGCTGTCACATCTCAGAGTTTCTGGAGTGGGAACTGGGGGCCTGCAGAGCAGCTGGTTGTTAGAAGTGACCATTTTAATTAGCCAGTGTGAGGCAACAAATAGCCCATAAAGCTCAGGGCTGGGTCCCATCCTTTCTCCTCTCCTCCAGAATTACAATGGTGTCTCAGACGTGGAGCTCCGAGTAGCACTACCAGATGTAACCACAGTGACAGTCCGGGTGAAAAAGAACAGCACGACAGACCAGGTGTACCAGGTGAGCTGCTGCTTTTTCACCTTGAGGGGAGGATTTGCCTTGCTGGAGTGTGACCAGAGAAGGGCAA